AACTGTGTTGGAATAGTCATACGGTACTTATTTGCTTCAGTTGAATATGACAAATCAATTATACTGTATTCCACATTTGTCTCATCCGTTCTGCATTAGTTATCGGCCACGAAAATTGAGACATTCACGAATGGGCATAGTCTCATCCCTGAGGATTTGCCTTCTACGATAAAATTATGAAAGCTAACAATGAAATTATGAGGCATCCACAGTTGTAAGTGTTAGCAAAGCATCAATTAACCATGGCGAGGCTCGCACTGAAATGAGACACCTACGATTTTAACTGTAGGCCTGGAATTCGTACAGACAACCTAGAAATGCCTCCTAAGTTTATAATTTGCCAATTATTCGCCAACAATTGTTGGCTTTTATTAAAAGTCCCAAAAAAATCTACTGGGTTTCAGTTCCAGCACCCTGAGACAGTTAGAAATTGAAATGTAGGGACACACGCTTGGAGGAGAAACTATACCTCTTTTTGCTTCACTACTTGTGAAAATTACGCGATTTTGACTGATATAAATGACAAAAAGTACTATTCCAAAAACTATAATTAACTGCGCTGATGGTATGTAGCAATGAGAAGTAGCGCTGCTGTAGTGCAATATTGGGCGATGGTTTGACCCCCATTGGAGAGCCAGTGAATTCCTCTCGGATTCGTTCATTCTTTTCAATGGAGAATTGTTACTTGCGTATGCCAGAGGCACACAAACTCGTCGTCACAGCCTGTTTGTAGGTATTCTTCAAAAGAAACAGTCATCGACAGCCTTGCCAGCGAGTAGTTGATTGCCATTGGCACTTGCTACCACTTGGGCTACTTTCTGAGTGCCTCAGATTCTCATAGAGAACGAACGAATTCTGGGTACCTCAGTCTCTCACAAAGAGCGAATACAGACGAAGGTCTTGATAATTTTACCCGGCGCCATCATGAGAGGAGTGGCAAGTTCATCAGGAATGGGCCCAGTTTTCTTTTTCCGCTGGCGACGTTTCTTCAACAGTGCTTCGAAATCGTTTGCCCAGGCTTGGACCTCCTCCTGCAACACACATAACGATGGATGCTAGATAATGTGGTAACCATATATGTCAGTTACTCACTTCTATGGAGCACAGTTATCCAGGGCTAGATTGAGCAAATTCGGTTTTAATTATGTTGCCTCTCTTGCTAATACGTAGTGTTTGAAAACATGCTTTTCAAAAACGTTAAGCAGAATTTAAGCAAATTTAGTAAAAATCTGTTTCTTGAAGGCAAAAAAGCCGTGGATGCATTGCTTTTTCATGGGAAGCCTGCTGCGCTACTGTACTCCAAAAATCTGAAATTCAATGGGGAAACAAAAACAAAGACAATACTCATGGATATATCATACTCATTAAAAAAATAGCGCTTTTCAGATAAACTTAATTATGCGCATGTACAAATTCAATACAACTTAAGATTGCTCTTGAACTGTTGCTATGCATGAGATCATTAAATAAATGTCAACACTTACTTCAGTAAAAGATGTCACTTCGTCAATTTTGCGTGCAGGTTCGCGACGTCTTCTTTTCCTTGGTGGCGGCATCTGTTCCTGATTACTTTCGTCCCTCTTAAGAAGAAAAATCAAATGAAACGTCTCTTGAAACTGGAAAAACGCATCAGAAAAAAGAGCAGCCGAGCTAGTGAGGGGGCGGAAATAAAAGACAGGAAAAGTGAAATTTTGAATGGTTCAATATGAACTGTTCAGTGAGCAATGAATAAGGCTGTTGATATAATAAACTGACACCATTTGGAACTACATCCAAGAAGTAAGCTAAGCAAGCCGGAGGTGCTGATAATCTTCCATTTGACTATTTAAGAAACAAAAAAAAACATATTAAACAGTAATCAGATGAACAAAAATGTTTCGGTCCATTAAATCGTATATATTCAAATAGTTTAGCCATAACTAGACAAAATAATAAAATCACAACGGTATAAAGTATCAAAAAATTGAAATACTACAAAAATAATAATTAGATATTTCTTTTACTCATAAATGAGGATTCCTAAATAAATTAGATGAGGGCAGAGCCAGTTTAATGCGTTGAGACCTTTATGATTTTAACCATGATAAATTTTCAGGCACCTTAAAAGAGAGCAGAAGTCCTCCAGTTGTTAAAGCAACTACCATATCGTTGTTGCGCTCCCTTCTCGCCAGCTGCTAGAGTTTCTATCCCGCCCAATTCTAAGTTCTAAGTTCCAGCATCCAACAATTCCCAAACGGATCCTTCTGTCCAATAACAGCCGTCTCGGTGCTATCTAACAACAGCGCAGGTGTTTTTTTTTTTTTTTTCGACTTTTTCTGCCAAACTATCAGTCCATTCGCGCTAAGTGGCTGGGATTTCTTGAGAAAGTTTTTCCTCTGCCCAGGCATTCCTTAACCAAATGCTGGAGCAAGAGAACCGTAGCATCAGAATGAATTTCATGGATTGGTCAAATTTATTTTCACAAAGCCACATCATCAAATCTATATTACTGAAGATCGTGGAAATATTGTAGCAGGTACATCGATTTTAACTTTTTTTTTGCAAAAAAGACGTAGCAAAACATACTTCCTGAACTAGTGGTTGTATAATTTGCCTGTTTTCATCACTTTCATCCAATATTTGTGCTTCCCCGCGATCCTGCTGTGCTTGAAGTGCATCTTGTTGCACAATCTGCAACACCAAATGTATTCATGTGAATTTACGTAAAAATTGTGCAAATTTTTTGGTATAACTGAGCTTAACTGATTGTTGGTTTGCTTTCTTTTTTTACAAAATCTAACAATTCGTCTGCATTA